AGCTGCCAGGCCTGGGCAGCCTCCTGACCCCAGGCCGCTGTGTCTCGTAGGTGCTGGCTGAGGGAGAGAATGGCGCCCCGGCTGCCTGGGAGTCGGAGGAGTCGGATTGCTCAGGAGTCGAGGGGGGCTCTGGTCCGGAATCCGAAGGCCCCAGAGTGCAGGCGGGACGGGAGTCCGTGGAGCTGCCTGGCCTTGGAGAGCACGGGGGTCTGGAGCCCGCCAGCTCCAGAGCGTGTGGGGCACAGGAGGAGGAGGAGGAGGGCAGCTGCTGCAGCGACGAAGGGGAGGATGGCAGCGACGTCTATTTCTATTACACCATTGGCGAGCGCTGGATCGACTACCTGGAGAGGACCGAGGAGGGTAGCCTCATCCGCCACGTGCGGCCAAAGGTAACGGTGCGCCCGCCTGAGAACAAGGGCCCTCGCGCCAGGCCAGGCCAGCCTCTTCTCCAGGCCTGCCCCAGGAGGCTGCTGGAGCAGAGACTGAGGCTGGGTGAGGGCAGGGCGGGTTAGTCCATGCAGTTACATCTGCTTCTGCAGATTTGCTGCAATTGTCACTTGAGCTAGCTCAGGTATGTCTGTACCAGTGTTCCCGCTGAGATTTTCCATCCATGAGTGCAAGGAGTTTTGTCCTGTGAGCAGTATTGAGGCCCTGGGCACTTGTTTGGGGGAGTGCCCCCCCATGGCACCTGAGTAATTCACAGCTAGACATGGTTTTAAAGGCTAGGGAAGAAAGAATGCTAAAGCAAGGGACACAACTTGAAATGCTTATTTCATATGAAGTCAAATAAAGAAAATTAATACTGAAAACCTGTCAGTAGCCAACTCCCTCTGATTATAGCCCTCTCCCAGACCCTCCCCCGGGCTCTCCGTTCAGGGAACTATGTTCATTTGCGTTTCAGACTTACATTTCTGAGCCTAAAAAAACATAAAACAGCAAATAGTCCTGCAGTCCCTAAGGGTATGTCTACACTACAGCGCTATTTCGAATGATCTTAATTTGAAATAGTTCATTCGAATTTAGCTAATCCAAATTAATGCATTTACACACAAAATCTATTTTGAAATAGCGCATCCCCACTGAGTGGACCCTGAACTGAAGTTCAGGCTGGCCAGAACCAGTGCTGGCAGGGCATCGGGTTAGGATTTAGCGTGTGGGGCTGCTGCCTGAGGCTAACTGAGCTCTGTGCTTAAAGGGACCCTAACCCCACCCCCGGACAGACAGTTCTCAGGGTTCCCCGCTTGCTTGTCTACCTCGATGAGGGACAGCAAAGCAGTCCTGGCTTGGAGTGCCCTGAGTGCCCGCACTTGGGACACCACAGCACTCGGCCACTGTCTTGTGGGGTCATTGCCCTCAGCCCGGCTGCACTTGCTGCAGGCTGCCATCCGGGGGCTGTCAGGATCCAGGAGGCCCTGAGGGAGAGCATCCACCCCGAGGAGCCCTCAGAGCCTCCCCAATCCTCCCCACCGGGGGCTCGTGCCACATTCCTCCCTCACGTCCTTCCACTTACCCCTCCCTAGCCCCCCTTCCTGATGTCAAGTAAGACACGTATGGTCAAAAATAGAAACTGGGTTTATTGAACAAAACTGGGGGGGGGTGAACCTCTGGGGAGACTGGAAAAAGGAGGTGGGAGAGGGGAAGGGGGGGGTGGGGAAA